AGAGGCGAAAGGCTGTGTTAGCTGTAACTTAAAGTTTCACGCATCGAGCGATCATCAGACAGCAGCATTCACTATCGAATTCTCTACGAGCAGGCCTAGATATTTGATGCTAGTGTGGAAGTTAGTGCATATGTGCGAAGTGAAGACGTGGCATTGGGACAATGGTATTGAGTTGTTTTGTGAGAGTTAACGGATAAAGGTGAGAATAGAGGCGATAACAGGGCAGTGTTACCGAGTCATTAAAGGCGATAGCGACGGTAGCGCAAGACCACAGCAAGAGTGAAGAGGGAGAGAGAAAGCACCATGGCGCCAAACCTGGTGCAGGTTGCGCCATGTCGAAAAACTCACGTAACTGACGGTGAGAATCTGGACAAGTAATACTTGTTCTCGTGTCTGCATTTCGACACCAACTCCGACCTTTTATTGATGTTGACCGTTTTGTCTGCTTCCAGGATCTCCAGTTTCTCAGCAAGGCATAGGGGACACCGCTTGGTCGCGTTCGAGTAGGCCTGGGCCTTGGTGACGACGGCCCATTTCACAGAGTGCGGAGTGTTCTTCCGCTTGAGCTTCCATATGCACTTGGACAGCTCCGTGCTTTTTTCCATCCTCTCATGCCTCGTCGTGCTCATGTGGTTGTTGTATCTCTGTTTAAAGGGTGGTTCCGTTAGGCCGAGGTACTCGTGCCGCTGCTCTCTTCCGGTGTGCTGGACTGTTGCCTTGTACACGATGCATCGTACTTGGCAGTCGCCGTCCATTGGGCAGGTGCTTTTGTCTCGGCAGTTGCATCGTTTGTCGGGGACGTTCTTGTCCTGTGTTTGTCTCTTCCTTTGAACATGGTTGTTGTGGGATTTGACTATTGCGGACATATTCGGCATACATGAATAGCTAACTTTGACGTTGTTGCGGTTAAATATCTGACGCAATCGGCAGCCGTGAGGAAAGTGTGTGTCGAGGAGTCGGAGGAATTTGTGTGCGATGTCTGTGGCCACGTTCTTGCTAAAGGGTGGGTTGTACCAAGTGATGTTGCGCCGCCTATTTCTCTTTCTTCGTCCTGTCTCCTCCTTCCTCTCTTCCATGTACTCGACTCGTTCCACGTATCCACTCTCTCTGAGGGCATCGTTGTACGCTGGTGCCGATTCCTCAAATATGTGTCGGTCACTTGATATGTCTGTTAGTCGTCTGCTGATTGTCTTTGGCAATTGTTGGATGATGGCCGGTGGGTGATTGGAAAGTTGGTGGACATAGACGGGCTTGTTGTTCGGCTTCCGGTATGGTTGGTATTTCCCTGTTGACAAATCCAGTGTCACATCCAGGAAATCTACCGTCTTCATGCCAGCGCTGATGGTCAGTTTCAAACCGAGATTCGTGAAAATCTGGCATATGGTTTTTCTGGCGTGGTCTGCTGTACTGCCCGTCGCATCTCTGATCACCGCTAGTCCATCATCGCGGTACAATCCGATGTCTGCGCTGTCGAACTCCTCCGATAGCTTTGACAGAGCATATGTGCCGACCAGTTCGCAGACTTCTGCACCGTCGAAGCAGCCCATGGTCACGTCGAAAAGTCCTCTCCCGTCTTTCTTCATCCACTCCCGATCACTGTTGAAAAGCAGGGACTTCCGCGAGTGCATGACGATTTCCTTATCCTGCTGCGTAATGTCCGTGTACTGTGTGGCGAAAGTGAGCGCTTGTCCGAGTAGGTCCTCGGATATGGATGGGTAAAATTCTGCAATATCAAAACAGATAAACGAGCATGTGGATTTGTTTTCTAATCTTCGGAACCACTCGATCACTGCTGTTGTATTTTTCCACGAATTGATGTTGAGTTCTGATCGTACTGTCTGGACAATTCTCTCCATGATGCTTTTACTGACTCGGCCAATGTCGCTTTTTGCAGGGTTGATCAGCCGGCATGGAGTGCTTTGCTGAAAGTTTTCTTTGTGGTCTTTTAATGTGATGTAAGCATCTTTCCTCGCCATTGTTTCGGACCGGTGAGCTATGTTGAGATCCTCTGCGATCTGCTTGGCTTCGGCATTGACGTCGTCGTAGATGTGGTCAGGTGCATGCCGATAGTGCTTGGTCACGTTATCTGTCAGTAGCTTACTGTAAAGATCTGTGTCCACCGAGTACAGATTCCTTGTTTTATCCGCCGCGACTAGCATGTCATCGGATCTCCGGATCCTTGACAGGTCCTCTCTCATCCTTTCTTGCAGCGAGTCGTTAACGCGGCGGAACTTGACGTTTTCTACCATACTCCATAGGTCCTTCTCGAACTCGATCATGTCGTCTATCTGCGGCGGGCAGTTTCTGGTCTTGAATCCATAGGTTTCCTCCTGGCAACTGTCCTGTTCATCTTTGCCCTTGATAAAGAAAAACGCCCTCCATCTCATTCGCTTGATGAGCTTTTCAGTCATCTCTACCAGTTTCAGCTTGTAGGTCCGCTCAGTAGGCAGAGGGATGTTCTTCATCGAGTAGTCAATGCTGAACAACCTTGGTCGATCCATTCTCCGTTAGGGCACGAGCAACCAAGAAGAGTGCTCAACCCAAAGGGGAGCTAGGCACAAACAAGGCCGGTCCTGGAAGCTCGAGGTAGAGTGCTCAATGTACGAATGTACAGAGCAGTATACACACATAACAGAGGCGAAAGGCTGTGTTAGCTGTAACTTAAAGTTTCACGCATCGAGCGATCATCAGACAGCAGCATTCACTATCGAATTCTCTACGAGCAGGCCTAGATATTTGATGCTAGTGTGGAAGTTAGTGCATATGTGCGAAGTGAAGACGTGGCATTGGGACAATGGTATTGAGTTGTTTTGTGAGAGTTAACGGATAAAGGTGAGAATAGAGGCGATAACAGGGCAGTGTTACCGAGTCATTAAAGGCGATAGCGACGGTAGCGCAAGACCACAGCAAGAGTGAAGAGGGAGAGAGAAAGCACCATGGCGCCAAACCTGGTGCAGGTTGCGCCATGTCAAAAAACTCACGTAACTGATGGTGAGAATCTGGACAAGTAATACTTGTTCTCGTGTCTGCATTTCGACACCAACTCCGACCTTTTATTGATGTTGACCGTTTTGTCTGCTTCCAGGATCTCCAGTTTCTCAGCAAGTAATGCAAAACCATAGATCATAGAACTGTGTCCAGGCAAACAACCATTTAGGATAGAATGCACGTACAGTATCTGTAGATGTTGGAACGTAAAATGTGCTGTGTTCTCTCACCTACAGCGGAAAATCAAACCCAGATGTTATACACACTTGGCACTGTGATCGGCGGTGTTGTTGGCGGAATGTTATTTGGGATGATAGCAATGATGATGGTGGCCATAATAGTCCATCGTAAGATACTAAGCAAACCGGTCAAGACCGAAGATCCAGGTCAGACACAAAATACAGCATATGAAGACGCTGACATTGCGGAGAGTTCCCTCACTAAAAGTGATGCTTATGGTGTTGTAGAATCCTCCCCGCAACCACAGTATGAATTGGTTTGCCCACAGTAACTCACTGATTCCGCGCATTTTCAACATTTTCTGTAGTTGGGTGTGCTTCTCTGTGTTCTGTGCCTATTGTTTTGCCTCAGCACAATTCATCTCAGTATACATTCTTGAATTTCTACCCAGTCGCACCGATTTTCTCAATCGGTTTTTTTTGCAATTCCTCAGTTTGGTATTTAGTTTTTGATAGTTTTATTCCAAGCAAAACATGGCTGGGGTAGCGAATGAGCACTTTGCGTGGCGATTGCAGGGGTGTTAGTAACCACAACGTATTCTCCAACGCCTCCTTTATTCTCATTCAATCTTTGTATTATGTTGCTCTGGGGGCGTGCTCCCAAAGCAGTCAGCGATCGACTTTCAACCGTGGCTTTTTTCCTTGCTGCTCAAACGCTAATCTATCTATTCTAATGTATGCCTTCAACTCATGTTGTTCTCAGCGCAGCACACAACTCATTCATAGCTAGGCTCAGCACACTCCCATGACTACCCCCAAACTAAATTTGCAATTAATCGCGTTAGCACCTTTCCAGGGTTATTAGTAGTACTTATAATGTAGATTGTTCTCCATCAAGTAACTTGTAATGTTGTTTCTTCTTTTCCAATATTCTGAGATCTACTTCATATGCATACACACACTTTACCTCGTCCTTTCCTCTCAATTTTTATCCCGCCATTATTTCTCACGTTTCTCGTGTACAACTGGTTCATAATTCTATCCTTTTTCCAGATGTGTTTTTCCAAATACACGTAAAAAAGAATATGATTGTTGCATAGGGCTTTTGGGATTGCAATAAACAGAACAACCTCAAGCGCAATCTCATGAATGTTTTATTGAGATGTCCTGAACATAGTCTTGAGAAAGTGATGATGGACAAAGAAATAAAACGAATGTGATGGGAATGTAATGTCAATAACCATAATGGGAACATACAAATAATCTACGAGGAGAACATAATTATTTTTTAATATAGTTATGAATACGATGATGGCCGTAGATATCACGCAACTACGTTACTTGTTCGACATGTATGTGTATTTTCATAACTATAATAATGAAACCCAGAATGGTTTTTCTCGTTCCTATCATCAGTGGGGAAAAATAAGTAACAAAAGGATATAAAACAATGAAATGGAAGTTTAGTCGTGAAACTTGGTTTTACTGCACTTGTATCACGATGTTATGTGGTTATTCTATCACCTTTCTTGTGGCCAGGCACAAGGGGTACATCACGGCTGTCCGCGGCTGACCAGATTACAATATGGCGTCGTTCCACCGGGTTTTAGAGAAGTTTTGGAAACTCGATGCGAATCGGTAAATTCTTGTGAATAGTGACAAAACCAAGTTGGTTTTCAGTATGATTCGACACAAAAAACGCAAACAGTTGAAGATCGTTTGAAAATTTGAAAGAGGAGCATGATCTGGTGCTCCAAATGTTTTTCTTTGGAGCGTTGGAAATACAAAACACGAAGACAGACATTGCTGTCACCACGCTGTCTTCTTACCTGTTTACGAGGAGACCGGACCTTGGTCCTCGGCTTTCCTCTTCTGTGGACGAGGAGCCAGCGTACTGGCTTCTTTGGTGGTTGTTAGCAGATGCTGCTCGGCGACAACTTTCAGCCTGGCGAGGTCTCCTGGTATGTTTTTATAGATGGCATTGAGGGTGTTGAGACTGGCGTGCAAGCTCTCTGCCCCTTGCTCCGCGAGCAGGCCCAGACCAACGCCAAGTTTCCTGATGAGCGGCACCGTATGATTCTCTAACAGGTGAAGTTTCGGCGTGATGTTTCCAAGTCGCCGTGCCACAACGTGTCTTCTGCACATACTCAAGAAGCGCCGAACTTCAGACTCCAGCTTATCCATCTCGTCTGCTGAAACTGCCTGGCTGTGACTGAAGGTAGCTCGACAAGAAGCGTAGCTGTTCATCAGATTCTCGTGTAAAGATGCTATTGTTTGGGCCTCCTCCGCCAGGACTGGACACCTGGACGTGATGACTGGTACGTGAGCATGGCTGATGGCAGCGACCACGGTGGGCTTCAAGGCTTGGTGGACGTGATTGCCGATGAAAGCACCACCGTGGTACACTTGACGTTCAATCTTGTGGTGTTGGAGAACAGGCTCCGCAGAGGCTACGCATGGGCCACTGAAGTCCTTACTGCGGCATAGCTTGGCAATTTCGTCCTTCAAGGCGTCGACAGTCGAAGTGTGTTGCTGGGTCTTCGTAACTGCTGCCTGACATGTTTGCTGTAGAGTAGTCACCAATTCCAGTAACGCCTGTTCCGCTTGGTTCTGGATGTGGAGAGCTACAAATTGCATCTGTTGTTGGACCATTTGCTGTTCGTTGACGGCTTGGTCAAGTTGCAACTGTGCGCAGCGGAGTTTCTCGTGGAGGGAACACAACTTGGTGAATGTACCAGCATCGTTGGTGTCAGCATTGCATTTCGAAGCAAGCTTCGAATCCAGTTCCTGCAGGTCCTTCACAAGGGCTTCAAACATCCATGTGTAGATGCCCAAGTCGAGATGCAGCACCGGGATGATTGCATTTTCGACGCGCACTGGCAATATGCACGGACGAATGACATTGTTATAGTGCTTTGCCTGTGATATCTGCGAGCCAGCTTCAGAAAATCTGCCGTAATCATCAGCCAATGTAGTCAGTGTGCGTGCCTGTCTATGCGCATCTGTTCTTTCATCACTTGGATTGGCCATCTCCTTCTTCGGACACAAACAGTGCAAGCATGGACGCAGTCCGCCAGAACCTGACAGCCCGTAGTTCATAGTCTGAAATTCGTAGTCGCCGAACATGTACACTCTCAGCTGCCTGCCGTTCCATACCGTGCTTTGCAAATGCTCCATCTGTAGAGCATACTGTCCAAGAGCAGTCTTCAAATTGGCCGGAGTGTCTTTCTCCTCGAATATGCACAGTGGAATGGTGTTGTGCGTTGCGTTCGGTGCTAGTACGTTGGCGATCTGCAAACTTAACTTAAAGTTGCCTCCTCCGTGATCACCGCCAATCTTGAGCCATACTTCGGACTGTGGAATCGTGCCTGAATGCCATGTCAAGCTGTCACTCTCATTGAGGATGTCGAGGAAGTGCATGACAACAGCGACAAGGTCCGGAAAAAATACAGTGGCAGCCATGGAGACATCGCCATTCCGCTTCGACATCGGCAGCTCTGTAGCGGTGTAGCTGGGCAGCGTCTTCGCGATGAACTCTCGTATAGAACGCTCAGACTCCAACTTTACTCCGAAGACCTTGAGCCACTGCCGCAGCTTCCTCAATTGGCTCCATGGCAGTCGGAGGTCTGCCTTGATGGCCAGCGCGGTGCCAGGCGAAGGTGAACTACACTTCAAGCCAGCTTCCTGCAAGAGCTCCTCCTGTGCAGCTGATGAGAGCCGCTTCAGCCCAGCAATCATTTGCACTCGAGCTCCATCCGATCCACCACAAACGGACTCAGCAATTCGGGTCAGCTCAGCAGCGCGGCGTTTGAGTGTTGAGGCATACGCATCGGTTGACGGTACACTGCACTCTGGTGTTAGCTTGTAAACTTGCGGTTTGCCCCTGCCTCCCTCGCCAGTTTTCACCTCCAGCCTGCCACCCTCTGCCCTAGCCCTGGCCAGACGTGCAGTGAGGTTGGTTGCCACATTGCCCTTCAACTTCGACGGAGAAGCACTTAGAACCTCAGCCACTGTTGACGATGGGCGCACTGAGCGGATAGGTGTCGTGCTCGGCGGCGGGCTACGTGCTGTGCTACATGATGGCGTCTCTGCGGGATTGAACGGGCACATGTTGCAATGACGTTGCAAGTCATGCAGCGGCACGACTTCAGGACATCCACGTAGCGATGGCTCGTGGAGGTCGCAGTGTATGGACTGGCTGCTGACAACCCTGGCTAGACTAATGCTGGGCGTGCGCATCGATGATGCAGCCATGTCAGCGCTGCAAGACTTGCATGTGTTATTCGTGCTGAGCCATTCGCTTATGCACTCTGCACAACTCAGCTCATTGCAGCATGCTGTTTCCAGGATACCGTCTGCGGCATTCTGACAAATGATGCAAATTTGCACCGCATTTCTGTCCAAAAATCTGTCCCTGTCAAGCGGCAGTATTGCACGATGTTGTCGCGCTGCTCTGGATTGTATGCATTCTGCACTGATATCTAGACCACTTACACTGCTGCCGGCTGCGTGTGTAGGTGATCCATCATCACTCTGGTGGCTGGGTGCTGTCAGGAGTGCGGCACCTCGCAATGCTGTTTTTGGTTTTGCATGGTGCGCGCTTGCGCCCCTTTTTTTCTGGCTTGCACACACAGAGCAGTTTGTGCGATGGTGTGGCTCCCATTTGGTGACAGGTCCACAGCCACCTCCACAATGTTCTGCCTTTCTACTGGCTCTCTTTAGGGCTCGCTCGCACAAAATACAGATGTATGGTGGGTGGATGTCTGGGAAATCTTTCGAGATATCAATGCCATGTACAGATTTCAGCAGATCACTATATTTTTCCACACTATATCTAGTAGACTGCTTGAAACAGGAAAACTTTCTGCCACCGACTCGGCAGACTTCTTGCAGCAGCGATTTATGCTCATCCATGATCACTCTACGTCCTCACAACAACTGGAGAGTAACACAATTGCAGTTACGATCCAGTAAGTGTGGGAAATACCAAAAGTGTGGGAATATTGCAAACGCAAGTCACACGGAATTGATGCACGTCACGGAACGAAATTTTCTACAGCACCAGAACGGACACTTACCTACCCGATTCCAAATTATCTAAACGATACTCAATTCTGGGGATACTATTTGGGGCACAAACGTTGGCTCAAATTCTGCACGACGAACGTCCCAGGAGAGGAAAACAAACGTCCTCCAGAGACAAGGAAACAAATCGAAGCAGTGGTCGCGCGGCATGTACGCAGAGCTGAGGGAAAGGCAAAGCCGAAAAATCGAAAACTCAGGGCAAACCAAGCTGATTGGAGACGAAAAGTGGCGAAGTCTGTGGAATACTTAGCTGTCTAAAGCAATTCCTGGACGAAAATCATGAATTTTTACGCGTTCTCGGCCGCCATATTAAATGGGCCAAAATCGCGCAAAAAAACAGCCGTGACATGGATGCAGCTAATGGGGTCGTTTTCGGCACTTGTGCCAGTGGTTGTAAGACTTGCCCACTCACCCCCACTGTTAGGCGCTGCATCTGCCGCTAGGGTTTATCAGGTGTTAGCGGCCGTCGTGAATTCACTTCGGGAACGGATACGATAATTTACTTTTCTTTATCACCTTTCCACTACTTAACTTCAGTTTCATTGGTTTGTACCCTTTAGTTCCGTGTTTTCCCCACTGATGATAGGAACGAGAAAATCGATTCTGCGTTTCAATATTATTGTCATAAAAATACACGTTCATGTCGAACAAGTAACGTTGTTGTTTGATGTCTTCGGCCTTCATCCTATTCTTAGCTACAATAATAGGAACGATGAGAGTCGGGATTGTATATAGTAAACGTTGGGCTCGTTTATTTCTTTCCTGTCTTTGTTTTGATGCTGGATGGCCCACATTTACCAGCATTGAAAAAATGCCATCTCTTGAATTGTGCCCTGTCTTGAATAGTGTCCTCTCTTGAATAGTGCCCTCTCTTGAATCGTACCCACTCTTAAAAAGTGAACTCTCTTGAATAGTGCCCTCTGTTGAATAGTGCCCTCTGTAGAATTGTACCCTCTCTTGAATTGTACCCTCTCTTGAAAAGTGCCCTCTCTTGAACAGTGCCCTCTCTTGAATAGTGTCCTCTCATGGAGCACAATCTGTGATGCAAATTGAACACATTGTCCCCCATGGGTAGTATTCAGGCGAGTACGGTATATTATCACATATGAAGTACAACTTTCTTGGAGGCAGGAAACTTACGAGGGAAATATAAACTACAAATCTCAAGCTATGGACGAGATCGTTCTCGAGGTCTCTTCCATCTGAACGTGTTTGAAGCTATTTATAATGTTTAAACTACCCAGCCACCTTTGCGTAAACAAAAGAAGTTTTATTTCTCGCCGGCCGAGTGGAGCGAGGGAGGGGAGAAATGATTTCTCGCGCAACAAAATTATTTTTCTTGCGAATATGGAATCTGATGCTTTCTCTTTTTGTTGTTGTTTTTTTTGCTTGGCGCCTTCAGTCAGTTTTTGTGTCTCACCAGTGTCCACACTCTCCCACCCTTCATGTCTGCCCATCTTTTCCATTTCTTTCTTGGCTGTAGATATGTTGTGCCTGTTTTTATGCTGGCATCTTGCCACTTGGGGTTATACACCCGGTTTTTTCCCCCATTCGTGCGTTAGTCGGCGCGAGGGTTTTTTTCCGGCGGGCTCGGTCCAGAGAAATTAATCTGACGGTCCCAAGTGGTGCTTGTCCTGGCTTATTTTTATTAGATGAATGTACTAATTCCTTCCTCCTGGCGTCTGTCCCCTGTGATTGCTCCTAGTTTTCTTCTATATTCCGGTTCCCATCTGGCTGCGGCCTACTACCCTCACTCTGTGTGCTCCTGCCTCTAGTGTCTGGGTCCATGTCGTTATGTCGGTGTATGTGGAGCGAGAAAAATGTAATATATCTCAAGTTAGAAAAGAGTACATCGGCCTAACGAAAATGACGTTAAAGAAGCGATACGACGGACACATGACGTCAATGAGGCATAAGCGAATGGCGAAGAGTACCGAGTTGTCGAAGCACATCTGGGACCTGAAGCGCAGGAATGCCGGGTACAGCATCAGTTGGTCAGTTGTCACCCAAGCCCCAGCATACTCCAATGCCACCAAGCGCTGCCTTCGCTGTCTGCGTGAGAAGCTGGAGATCATGCATGCTAACAGAAGGGTGAACATCAACAAGCGATTGGAGCTAGTAGCCAAGTGCAGACATGAGAACAAATTCTACCTATCTAACTTCACATCTCCAGTTACATAAACCAGGATTACACCTGATGTCTGGCGCGGATCTTGCAGGTATATGCATAGAATCAGCGCTTGACTTTATTTGCCCTTAAGTTCTCTGATACCACTAGCACCTTACAACACTATATCAAGAACATTCATTGAGGTTTTGTAATCTTTGCTGTCTGATGATCTGAGTCACAGCCAACCCAAGCTCCGTATCCCATTCTTTTCTTTTGTATGAAGCTTGATCACTCTTTCGAGGACCACACCCAGCTTTCCCTGTGTGTATCTCTCAAGTAAGTTGTTTACTAACACTCCTGACCCCACTAGTTAGTGTAGAGTCCATTTGGTGTTTTTTTACACAGTGTGTGGTCTTCTTGTCTCACTTCTTACCTTCTCTTTTTCTCTTTCACTTTTCCTTACCTGTTCTTGTGAATACAGTCTTCGCTTAGTTCGTCACCTAGATGTAATGATTATCACCCCTGTGATGCTACCTATGTTTCATTTGGTCTGGTTGCTTGTAATTCATTTGTATTCGGAATGCCCGACAACTGGTTCATGAATTTCATAATCCTTATGGATGATATTGGCGAGGAATAGCTTGAGTTTGTAGTTTTTTCTTCATCTGATATATTTGGTCTATGTAAGGAGAAACAGGACTAAAGACCTACAAGTTACGCTTTTATATCCAATAAGACTCCTAAGACATTGGCGGATGTACATGTAGGTTGAAAACGATACTGGCAAGACCATCAGACTAAACGGTCAAACCACAATTCAAGGACGCATAGCAACATACCACACAACTTGGGCGGTTCTAAAGATTCAAAGATAGATCCTTCACAGTTGAGACTTTCAGCATGTGCTTGTCTTGGTTGCGGTCACCTTCCTTTCCTTATGTTTGTCTCCACATGTCTCTTTGTAGGGCTGTGTTCCCAATATAAATATATATTAAAAAAATGACTTATAACCTTTCAAACCAGCGCTTTGGCCGAGTGGTTGTGGGCTTGCCTGCGAATCACAAGGTCCCGAGTTCGAGACCCGCGCTGGAAGCAGGAAGCATGTACTGTGCTAGCAAATGCGCTGATGCATTCGTGAACCACTTTACATGCAGTCAACTGCGCCGACACCCACCGTCAACTGGGTACTCATTACTCGGAGTGAGGGTAACATGGATGCAGCTAACGAGGTTAGCCCCCTTGTCGGGCATTGGTTGTGAGACTTACCACCTCAACCTCGCCGCTAGGCGCTGCATCTACCACCCTGGTATCACAGGCATGGTGGTGGCCTGGCACATGCGAAAATTCCTAAGCTGGTTGACAGTGGTTGTGTTTCTGAACGGAATTGTATTGCCAGTGGTAACGCGGACGTGCAAACTTTATTATTACTTAGAACCTTTCAAACATAAAGACTGTTGGAGGGTACATCCAAGACATACGAGAGCTGATAGTCAGTATCGTTGGTCAGTGTCGTGCAATGTGTTCGATCTGATTGAAGTAACTGGTGGTGGTGGATATTATAGCGTTATATGTAGCTCTTGGGTCCTCTTTTCGCCTTATAAATTAGTTCATGGCTCTCCACCATAGTCTATCGTATCTGTATAAGAATTATATAACAGACGTATAGAAGTATCTCGCAAGAATACGTTGTGATTCTTTTTTAGTATTGTTCATTTGCAATTTTCGCTATACATTCTTTATAATGGTCAGTTTTGCAATTGTTAATCAGTACAACGTTGCTTCTTAAGAGAGCATGTCTGAGAATACCAAAGTATGTGTGCAAGTGGATCTCTCTGATTTCGCTCAAAATTTGCAGGTAGGTTGCCTTTGGGGTGTGGATCGACTGTGCAAAGCCCTTGAAAAAGTTTCTGAAGGGAACCTTGAAATTTGCATACCCCTCAAAAATGGCCGAAATATCACATTATTTATGGGTCTAGAAACGAGTCACGCCACAGCGTATACGAACAAGCTATGAACAAAACTCCATCAAGCCAACATTGCCTCACCTTAGAAGAGTTCCTGGAGCAGTACCGCTTAGCCACGCCAGCATCCCAGAAGACGAGGTCCATCACCCCCTGACGCCACAAATGATCGTCTTGAAAATAGCCAATTTACAAGCGCTGGCAAAACAGCCAGCTACGTCCTCAATTGGCCAGAACTATACACCGGCAGATAGTAGAACACCTCTTCTAGCGCTGAGGACATGTCTCCCATCTTCCTTTTGGGGTTTTCTTGAAATAAACTTTTTTGAATTTTTCCACTCGACCATGCTGAAATACGGCCAAAGTCATACCTGCGCAGGAAAGCTCGCCCCGTCGCGACGTCTCCTCAGCAATTTCTACTCCAAAACTACTCCCAAGGCCGCAGAACAAAGTGTAGTTTTGACTCTGACAAGGAAAAGCAGCGGTGATCACTTGTCACTCCAAACGACAAGCTTCTCCTTGCGCCACGAATAATTTTTTGTGCGACTGTTGATGCAAAAGTGACTGAAGGCCTGAGCGCAGTTTTTGAATTTTATTGCAAGATGCACGGTGAAACCACGTGCCTTGTGACGCAAGAATGCCAAGTCGCGTGGCCCACGGCTCACGAGATTTCAGAGTCACCTTCGTCAAGTGCGCTTGTTACTCGCCTTGAACGCCCGTTGGTCTGGAACAGGGAGCCGTATAGACCCGGGAGGCGACACGAGGCCTTCCGGGCCGACTATGATTGACTCGCGGCACTTTCTCCCACTTTTCCCTCAGATATCCCCGGTGCATGCCCTGAGTTATAAACCAACTACTCCGCGTACTTATGCCATGGGACTTTGGGAGTGCACTCCTTGGGGAACGGACACGTGCAGGATCGATAGGATCGTGGGAAATCGTAGCTCGAAAAGAAGAAGAAGAATGAACTACTTTTCCAAGTAATTAGTTGCATCTGATGATCGTGATTGAGGCAGAGAGTGCTGCTGATCGCGATCCAGATCCGGGTCAAGAATCACCTCCTGATCCTAAGGAAACCTCACCTGACGTAGATCTACGTTCTCTTCGCGTGAACGCTCAGTCTGTATTGGCTTGGGCCACAGGTATGGTTTGAATTCTAATTTTCTAATATTATATTTTTCAATTTGTCTTGAAACTTTCAACCTTGCTACTTAGCGGCTTCTGATCTGGTGCGCGTACTGCATAAAAAGTTGCGAATAATCATGAATTGGAAGAAATACTTGTGGGTTGATAGAGTGCAGTACTTGTTCAATGGTTTCTACAGAGCGTTCCGAATCCCAGCCGCTAAAAACCCACAGAAGGCAAGAAGCTGACTGCGGAGAAAGAAGACTCGTTTATGGTTGTTCTACAGCCGCTGCTGACGTCCATCAGCTCTGTCCTGCTCCCAGCTGCAGATAGGCCTGGATTTCAATGAGTCGTGTCCCAACTCCGGTGTGAACGATTTCCCGACGTCAAGACGAAGTGGGGTCAAGTCATGGGTGTTGCAAGGAAGCTATCACAAGATGATCCGGTATTGAGCGGTAGGTTTTGTAAAGCTGCTCTAACATTTGGATCCTATAAATTATAACATTAAATTATTATTTGTATTCACGAAGCCATGCCCAAGACGTGCGACATAGCGTGCGTTCGTGTGTATGTGTGTGCGTGCGTGTGTATATTGTGGGCGTGTGTGCGCGCTTGTGTATGTCGTTAAATGCCGCCAGAGCACCCCTACCTCCGGAACCATTCGAGTAGATCCATTTGGGGAGGGGCGGATGGGCGAATCCTGCTTGCCGCATTCAGTACTACATGAAAAAGTACTCACCCTAAGAAAACTGTGCGTGCGTCTCGTACACCCAACAAAAGTCAAGAGCTGGGAGTCGTACAAACCCATCAAAACCCTTGGGTGTGTGCGATCTCTGGTCAAGAGGGTGGGAACTGTTGCGTACATTTCCAACCAGGTCGTAGACGCGTCTGCAGTACAGTACGACCTCACACTTCACATAGTCATACGAGGATACAACTCTATTGATAGATAAGATAACGTGCTTGTAGATCTCTGCCATGCCAAAGTTGCATTCAGTAGAGGTAGTAGTCTCTGTCAAACGTGTTTGCCATTGGCTCACGGCACTTGTAGCAGCTGATCGGACGATGCAAATGGACTCCCAGTCCACATTAGCTGGTTCTTGATATGCCTTCGAAAATATACCATGGCACGCACTTTCCACTGTTGTTACATAGGGCCGGAAGTGTGTTGTCCTGAGCTTGCCACGATACTTTCCGATCTGTCCATCTCCTCTCTTTGTTAAGTTGAAATTATTTGAAGAGCTGATGGTTGGTAACTTGCTGGTCAGCTGGTAGGAATACGTTTGCAAGTGTTGCTGGTGATTTGTACGTTGAATTGCCGGAGTGACGTGGGCTTGAGTAGTCTTCCCCAGCAATGAACTGAAGAGTAGCATGCGTATTGAATTCTCTTGTTGCCGGTTCATCGGCCCCTCTCCATGACACCGGACTAGACTGAATTACTGGCGTCCCTTCATCGGCCTGCTTTTCGCCTCGAACTTCACGAGTCTTGAAATCTGGACCCAACATAATAAAAGTGGGACTCATTTGCGCAGGTCAGACGATAAATTGATGCAATAAGGGGTCATCGCGAAAGCAATAAGGGGTCATCCCTGAAAAAAACATTCATTTCGTACTCGGACCTCCTCTCCACCCTCCGAAATGAATGGACGACGAAAATCGCATGCATGTACATGTGTATGCATAGCGTCAGTCGACTGAGATTTTAGCTCCCCCCCCCCCCCCCCCCCCCCCCCCGGAACGATCTTCGTTTCAGGGACGACCAAAAACTTGTGTGACCACTGACTTTCTTTCTCTGTTATCAAGCAGTATGCATTATTTGTAACAGTAATTACTTGTCTGTGTCATGTGGATGCATTGTCTTATTTCCTTTTTCAGGCTACAGTACAACCAAGAGAACGAAATGTACGTCGCAATCAAGCTATGTCGTTGCCATCTTCTATGTGCCATGCGTTACCTGATGTGCCAGCCTGCTATGTCGGATACCGCTAACCATGCACCGACTAGGCGCCAGGCGCGAACTGATGGTGGTGGTGGTGGTGAGAAGGAGAGCTCTGTGCCAGAATAACTTTGCAGTTTAGAGAGGGTGTCTGGGCAGGCGTGTATTTACCCCCATATTGCCAGGTGTGTATTTACCACCATATGAACCAACCATAAGTGCAGTTGCAGTGGAGTCTTCAACTTCATTCTCCCGAGTCAAGCTCCTTGTGAAGACATCTAAGAAGAAGATTGCGTGATGAGTCCAGCCGGGACGAAAGGTACGTCGCAATCAAGCTATGTTGTTGCTGTGTCATCTGCTATGCGCCATACGCTACCTGATGTACCAGCCTGCTATGTCGGACACCACTCACCCTGCATCGACTAGGCGCCAGACGCGAACTGATGATGGTGGTGGTGGCGGGAAGGAGAGCTCTGTGCCAGAATAACTTTTCAGTTTAGAAAGCGTGTGTAGGCAGGTGTGTATTTACCGCCGTATGAATCAACCACAGTACGATCAGCTGACATTATAACTTATAAGGATGATCTCGTGCAGCGATATTATTGATATTTTTTAAGTCTTTTCTAAGGACTCTCCACTGCAGCGTTTTCTTTCCACTCGGTTCTCTTCTTTTCATCGCTCAGCTTGCACTTACAATGCTTATACATACTGATCAATCCCGTTCAATTTTCCGTACATTTTTCTCAAAATCCATAGCGCGGACGAAGTAGTGATTTTCCGTACAAATATGGAAAATACGGAAGGTTGATAGCACTGTGTTGAGGCAGCTATTGTTGACTTTATTTGGAATTAATTCTGTCGTATTTGCACACATTCCTGAGTACATTGTATTACTACTAGCATCCAATGTGTGTTATCTGTGCGAGCTTCTAACCTTGTGAACATTCACCGAAGGTTCGGTTGGTGGCGCACAAGATCTTCCGGGATGGCTCTTGCGGGCTCTCAGCCCTGCGTTCACTGCATAAAACTTGGCAGAACAGTTCAAGTTTCAATTTAGGCCATTTCCTCACTCTGTGACTCCCAATATTTCACATGTGCAATGATTATAAGTATTGTAGATCACTGGGACAGCGCCACTTTGTTAGCCGATGTTAGTCCTGAAGAAAAATTGACTTCATTGCCCTAAAGGTGAGAAGAAATTGGGACTATTTGTGAAGGAAAACTTTGGAAAATGTAATTTCGAATAAAAGTCATTTCGTTTATCTGGATAGGTCCAATATTTCACAAATGTGCAATATAAGTATTGTAGATCACTGGGACAGGGCAACTTGGTCTGTCGAAGTTAGTCACGAGGAAAAAAATTACTTCATTGCCCTAAAGGTGAGAACAAATTGAGACTATTTGTGAAGGAAAACTTTGGAAAATGTAATTTCGAATATAAGTCATTTCGTTTATCTGGATAGGTCCAATATTTCACAAATGTGCAATATAAGTATTGTAGATCACTGGGACAGGGCAACTTGGTCGGTCGAAGTTAGTCAAGAGGAAAAAAATTACTTCATTGCCCTAAAGGTGAGAAAATATTGAGGCAATTTGTAAAGAAAGGATTACCTCATCTTAGGTGGTCAAAGTGCCTCAGAGTTCGAGTGGCAGTGCAAAGCCGGTGAGTAAGCCAGTGAACAAGACCCTTTATTAGTGAACTCCTCAGCGATGGCCACAGATGGCTGTATTTCGGCAATGGAGATCGAAAGTCTGACCACAATTGTTCAGCGAAAGGACGAAGACGACGCGCTATGTACGGATTTCCCGCGCGCTATGACCTATGTACGGACTTGTCCCACACCGAGCAGGTCGTAATATTTTGAATCGTTGAGTCGATCATGGTTGTGCACAAGTGATGCGCGTGTCGCCTCCCGGGTCTATACGACTCCCTGGTCTGGAAGTGATCCCACTTGTGTTGTTTCTGCGCTCAAGAACACGCTGGGAGTGTTGTAGGCCTACGGACCGGGACTTTCCCTGACCATGTAGGTCGAAGACCAGTGAAATGATGATGAAATCACATTCTTTATGACGTAAGAAATCTCTCATGCAGTTCACGCGACAAGTGCGTGCAGTCAGTGCTACTCGCGTGCCAGTCAACACAGGAACCGAGCTAGCCGCTTTTGTCGAGCATCGACATGAAAACAAGGGACTTTTACTGTTGGACTATGTTCGGGATTGCAGGAGGTAAGTGTGAAAGATGAATAACTCTCCATGCTGTACAGGGCATATTTCAACGGCTTGCTGCCATTGCAACACTCCTAGGACAGTTTGTTGGGGTACTCAGCAGTTCACGCAGGAAATGAAGCTCATCCAGTTACCTCTGCCATCATGGTCTGTTCCGAGTAGCGTTCCAGGCACTTTCACGATCATTGGCCGCGTATCGTGATGCAGGAAGCGTCATCCTACGTCACAGAGCAAGCGATCTCACCGTGCATCTTGCAACAAAATTCAAAAACTGCGCTCAGGCCTTCAGTCACTTTTGCATCAACAGTCGCACAAAAAATTATTCGTGGCGCAAGGAGAAGCTTGTCGTTTGGAGTGACAAGTGATCACCGCTGCTTTTCCTTGTCAGAGTCAACACTATACTTTGTTCTGCGGCCTTGGGAGTAGTGTTGGAGTAGAAATTGCTGAGGAGACGTCGCGGAGGGGCGAGCTTTCCTGCGCAGGTATGACTTTGGCCGTATTTCAGCATGGTCGAGTGGAAAAATTCAAAAACGTTTATTTCAAGAAAACCCCAAAAGGAAGATGGGAGACATGTCCTCAGCGCTAGAAGAGGTGTTCTACTATCTGCCGGTGTATAGTTCTGGCCAATTGAGGACGTAGCTGGCTGTTTTGCCAGCGCTTGTAAATTGGCTATTTTCAAGACGATCATTTGTGGCGTCAGGGGGTGATGGACCTCGTCTTCTGGGATGCTGGCGTGGCTAAGCGGTACTGCTCCAGGAACTCTTCTAAGGTGAGGCAATGTTGGCTTGATGGAGTTTTGTTCATAGCTTGTTCGTATACGCTGTGGCGTGACTCGTTTCTTGACCCATAAATAATGTGATATTTCGGCCATTTTTGAGGGGTATGCAAATTTCAAGGTTCCCTTCAGAAACTTTTTCAAGGGCTTTGCACAGTCGATCCACACCCCAAAGGCAACCTACCTGCAAATTATGAGCGAAATCGGAGAGATCCACTTGCACACATACTTTGGTATTCTCAGACATGCTCTCTTAAGAGCGTCGTGCGAAGGCTTGTTCGATGCATTCTTATATTCCCGTCGCTCCTACTTCGACTATCATTTTTTAAAGAGAAAACGTCCTATGCGTTACTACTAATGAGAAATTATGACTGACAAGGATGTGGAAACATGCGAAGAACGGAGCTGCGACACGGTATAATTATTGTGATGTGATGTGATGTAGATTCATAGATGTGTTGGAGCTAGGTGTCAGGTCGTCGAATGTTTCAATATCCTTGTCAGTTTTGTGCCTTGTTGTCCCACTATCTGACTGTATATTACCTCGTTACCATGGTGAACTGTTAGTCATAACTAGTGACTAATAGTGATTTTTAAAAAACCTTTACATGTTCCTGCTATTGTTATTCACATTGCATTTTCATCACAGGTATTTCTTTTTTCGTGATATTTCAATAAAACCTTCGTGAAGATAATGCTTCAGCTGGTTCTGCTTTTTGCAATCCTTTAACTGTCGTCACTTCTTCACCTTTTTGCATAGAGCCTTATTAGCAGTTCTGTAGAATATTTTGCTCAGTGTTTCCCGACTTTCCTTCAAGCCTTGTTGTCGTACTATCTGACTGTACGTTTTCTCGTTACCTTGGTGGACTACTAGTCATAACTAGTAACTTATAGGCGCTTTTCTCTTTACATGTCACTACTACTGTTCTACGCTTGGTAAGATTCGATTTCAAGAGGGTCTTTATTGTATTGCATTGTCACTGTGGGCTGTTTGTATTCTGCGAGTAAGATCCTAGCTTAAGCCTATGCTGAGCCGTACGCCGCAGCATTTCTGTCTCCAGTTGCCTGCGCAGTGAGTCCACACGATGGTATGACATCTCCTAATGCATGCACACAGACCTTGGTCGTATGGTAGGATGGCCTCAAGCACGCAAACGCCTCAGCCTTTATTGGAGACGCGCAAACTGCCAGTAGCTGTATTGCCACGGCAGAATGCGGAACACAAGCCTGCATTGAGCACCAAGTAAAATCCACACGAACACCACGATGGGAAAGCCCCCTGTTTGCAACGCATATGTCGCAGTTTGACCGAATTTATCCTTATTTGACAGACAGACTACTTCAAGTGTATGTATATAATAAAGTACGGTGGGAGTATGATTTTGGTACGTTCTAGTCTCTCCTCTGCTGCATCCCTTATTCAGGCCAGTGTGTCTGGCCATCATCTGTTGCTTCTGCCAATCCATGGTATGGTTCACCTGAAAATATAAACCCACTGAGATTTGTAGCAATGAGCTTTCGCCAATGTAATTTGCATGGCATCTGTATATTAATTCAATAACAACCCGGGCCATATTAAAATATGAAATGACTCGATGTACGAAATTCAGGATTTGAAAGAACTTTTGTCTTGCAGATTTATTTGATAGTGCTTCTCCGTGTGCTAAACTGTTATTTTTATTATTTTTTATTATGACAAGATAATATACAAATTCTTAGAAAAGATGTACAGCATTTCCGGCTAGTATTTGCACACAATAACCAATTACATGTACGAAGAGAATTCATTCAGCATTAGGGTACTTCTGCCTTATAGCTGAAACTGCACATGATGGTGTTCATTATCGGACACCTCGCCCTAGTTTCCCGAATACCAGCCATATGTATTGTCAGTATGCTGCATAACGGTACGAGCTGCAGTGGGGAACAAAAGAGTAGAACTTCCTGTTGTTAGTCTCACATGTCAGCGTAATTTCAGTGCAACAGCAGAACACTACAACACAATTATTTTTGACGAAAAATAACCTGGCTATATCTTTGCCCTAGGGAACAGCATTTTGTTGATGAGAAAATATATTTCTGCAATACAACATTCTTGACAGTATTAAACTATTAGCACCTACAGGTTTTCAAATTCGGATGGCTTCGATCCAGCCGGCTGATGGATCGTGTTCAAATAGCCGCGCAGCGCAGTATACAATGCATGCTGGTTGCTGCAGCCTTCCTCGAACTGTGAGGTGCAAGTACTGCAGCCACACTCACCAATCGCTGTCGATTCCTGAACATCTTTGCAGAAAATGCAGTCGTTCCACAATCACTGAACGGCGCATTTGCCACATTGACACCAGGACATAGTGCCTACGCGATCGGCAGTTGTCCAGCATTCCTCTAAGCAAACAGCAAGGTCAGTGTCGGCAGCAGCCGCTGCAGCTTCGGCAGCATTTACACCAACTTTCTCCGCACTCGCCATCTCCATGATCTCATCCTCGGAATATTCAGGTTTCTTCGCGTATGCGAGGACATCACTGGCTTCCAACTCGCTCTCCTCGGATTCACTGTCATCTCCTGACAAGGAGCTAGACCTACCCTGAATCGTCTCCGCTCATACTGTTTCTGCCTTGGACATTCACGTCTTCACTTTTTTCTCCGTCCAACTCCATGTAAAACTTCCGAGCTCCAGGAGCTCCTCTATCTCTTTGATGTCACGGTTCCGTGACGCCTTGGTGGCGCCAAAAACAGGGGATCTAAGTGATCTTTCAGCTGCGTACTTCTCGGGTTATAGTCACAGGATGAAGATGAGACATACACCATTTGACTCGGCTGATGTTTCTCAATAGCATAATAATTATTATCTGATTTTGACTTTAGGGTGAACTTCCCCAGCTAAAAAAAGTAAAAAGCCTGCGAGTTGAGAAAGAGCAGGAGCTACTATTAAACATTGTGGTGGAAACGTTTGTGGAGCGTTTTCTGGGCATAACGGAAAATCGGGTGGAATTCTCACTTTGATACCAGCACGCACAGTAGTAAGAGATAGTACCCGACAAAACAATACACTCTTGCATTCTTGGCTTGTGTACTATGTTCACGTCAAGCGCTCATTATCCGGAGCTGTATTTTATGTGTTTGTACCAGGCGACATGCTTTTTTCAAAACCTTCCCACCTGTAAGTACGTGCATATGAAACCTAGTGGCACGGAAATATAGGTAACATAACGGAGATCCATATTAATTTTCATGATTCCTTCTCCATCGTTGTCAGATGGTGCTGATTTTCGTGTTTGGCAAAACGCATTATAATTATAGCGATAGTGACACACCTCCTCGCGCTGAAATGCCGTGTCTGTGAAAAGGTAATCAATACTAATAAAAATGTCGATACATCTTGTTCTTCTGACACGCAGAACTCACTGGCTTGTCTGTTTGAGCACTCCAGCAAGTTAGATTCAGGCCTAATATAAATCTGGGTTAGGAACCATTATTGTCAATGTCATTGATATCAAATTCGGCCTCATCGTCTGTGTGATGCTCTAATCGATGTGTTCTTGAATCATTTCTTTTTATTATGTGCGAGTATATACCCGGTATCCTCATTATTTTTTCGACTCTCGAAACAAATTCCGTCTCTTCACCTAACCTAGGTGCAGGCTCGCACCCTCATAATTATGGGAAGTGGTATGCTGAAGTGGTCGCGCTGAAATGCCTCGCGCTGTAGTGCACGCGCTGTCGCGGGATGGAATCGTAGTTGTTCACGACTTGTGTGTGAACAACTGACAACAGGGGTGTGAACTATCTGTCATGTGGTTCCACCAGCTTCTCAAATCTACATGTAGTTCTAGACTTGGAAAAAGTTGAGTTCCAGACCTGCCGTCAACGTTGCGTATATCTGCCATTAGGCATTAGACACGATCCAGGTATGCGTAAATGCTAGCAACATTACATCGCTGCAACACTACACGAAAATCTAAATGTTCATGTCCAATGTGCGGACAGCCAACTACGTCGTCAATATACAGGCTCATCAGGTGATCTGAGTGGAGTGTACTCAGTGGAGTGAGCTAAGGATCATGAACATCTTACGAGAGTATAATTATACATATGGACTTCCCTGTGGCTAGTGATCTGCCATTCAGAGTTTCGATTCAATCGGGGCAGTACTGTTCGCCACAGCAGACTTGCTCGCTGCTGTTACTGTCGCCATGTATGGGTAATCAGCACGAGCGTCCTATTGAGCTACTCGCATCATCCAAGTGATGTATACTACTCCTTTTCATATCGAATATATACTCAAGTACACCAGTAGTGCTGGACAGCTTTCAAACTCCTTCTGTACTAATAGTACTATCTCTATACTATAAGAGATTTGTTTGGAATGTACCTGCGCGGCTGCCCGTGCCTCACACAAATCTGTCAGGCAGAAGCTCATTAGACCCAGGGGGGTGTCAGGGACAGATGGAATCCAGTTGCCAACCAGCTGACATGAGCATACACTGTACTCAGGTAGACTTTGACTGGCGTTCGATGTGTTTGGCAAATCGCCCGACGGTTCCTGGACGCCTTGGAAAGAAATGCGTTGCCGGAGAATGAAATTTAGTAAGAACCATATTTCTGTGATGACTTGCAGCTGCTTGTAACTCGTATTAGCTTTGTTGTATATAGTGCGTACAGAGTGGAATGGAGACGCAAAGCCATTGGCGTGCATACGGGTTTTAGAGGTGAGTCATTATTTCCTGGCGGTGCGATTGGACGATTTGTTGGATGCCGCTGAACAACTGACGGGCATAGATTGGGGAGGTGGACAATGCATTTTGCTAACTTACCTATCCTGGTCTCATCAAAAACTATTATGGGACATATTCGTGTGATGAAATATGCCTCAGGATATGTGACATCACATGAGCATGCGTTCCTGCATGTACATTTAGGTGAAGGGACAGAATTTGTTTCGAGAATCGAAAAATAATGATGATACCGGTATAAAAAATATAAAAAATTCACGGTTCGCGTGAGTCTCGGCTGGAAGCCGAGTTATCCGCATCCGTAGGAACGCCACCACCCATCAAGGATCAAGGCGCAGATGCAGCTTCTAAAGCGGTGGGAGGTGAATAGATCAGCTGACCAGAAAGTGGTCAAAGACCAAAAATCCCATTCACTGCATCCATGTTCTTCTCGTGCCAGGCCACGAGTTTCCAATAATTATTAATCTTATTAAAAGCATGTCCGCGTAGGTGGCGGGGTGCCACTATCGCTTATGCCATTCAGGATTGATGTCTGAAGAGTAATACGATACAATGAAATGACAGAAGTGACGTCAACAAAAGCCGTTAGCAACAACACCAATATGACTAATGGAAAACTTCATCCAAAGTATAGAATATGCATACAACATGTCTGGTCAGTCCTGTTAGGTGGGGCGGGCTCCACGCCATGCCTGTCGGTCCGCTGCCATTGTGCGGACTGCGTCAACATCTAGCGGCTGGTGGTGGGTAATTCCATGCCATGATAACAGTTCCGTCTGCAAGACCGTTACCAAACCAACTGCCAACTGTGGAGGAGCAGTTGGGGCCAAACGAAAGATATGGCCAGCGCGACTGTAGCGCTGCCTTGTGATCATCTCACGCAACAGCGTACAGCGATCATTTCCGTCCGCCATCATTGAGGAGTGGAATCGCCTTCCTCCAGAGCTCATCACAGCACCACCTACTCTACCTTACCTCCAGTAGTTCAAAGAAGACGTTCATAAGTATCTGCGATCTGCTGACTGGCATTGCGCCTCTACGCACCTGTGATTATCTGTGTGTGTGTGTGTGTGTGTGTTTGTGTGTGTGTGTGTGTGTGTGTGTGTGTGTGGCTGTGTGTGTGCATGCATTCGTATGCATGCGTGTGTGTGTGCGTGTGTGTATAGTTTGTATGTGTGTGTATGTGTGTGCGTGTGTTTGTGTGTGTTTGTGTGTATAGTACTTGTATGTGTCACAGTGTGTGTTTGTGTGTGTGTATAGTACGTGTGTAATACTTCCGTGTGTGTGTGCGTGGCTGTGCGTGTGTGTGTGAACGCGCGCGTATGTGTGTGTATGATTTCGGATACCTGCTGCTGGGCGTATGCAGTCATTGTATGGTGTACCTGAACCTCAACTTTTTTCCTCTCATTGAACAACATTCCGTAACCGTGCTGCCACCCTTACTTCACATTTGCTCTGCAGTGCTCCTGCTCATTTTTCTATTTTCGTATTTTTCTGTTTGGCGCGCATGAGCAGTGCTGAGGCCGAGACCCCTGGTCGGTTTAGTTGCTCTTGCCCCGCCTCCACTCCTTCGGCTGCCATCGCTATGCGCATCTCTGTGCGTTTTTGCCGGCGTTTGCACCAAGATGGTTTGTGGTTATCTTGTAAAAAAATAAATTAAAAAAATCTCGCTGATGGGGACAGCTCCGCAGCGCTTATACAGAGTGTCATTGCTAATTCGTTTAGGGTACCGCATGTCGATGATGCTCCTCAGCTGGGTCCAGTGGAACGAATCCATTCGCGCGAGCTCCGACATCGGTAGGCCCCAAGTGCCGCAGTTGTAGGTAAGGACTGGGATGACGTAGGCGTTGTAGAGCCTCAGCCGAAGACCTTCCTCCGGGTCCAGATCTTGAGGAGTGAGTTGAAGGCGGCGGCGGCCAGTTGACGCCTCCGAGCAGCATCTTCGGCGTCACCCAGGAGGGAGCCTAGTTTGCGGACAGTACGCCACGTTTCTTGGTTCCTTTCGGGAAATCGGGCGACGGTGGTATGCTCTGTCTTGGAGGGATTAACGTTCAGGTTCCATCTCGCAAGAACTGCTGGACCCTGTTGTTCAACTTCACTGAGAAACGTCTCAACCCGGCTCACAAAATCAACATCGTCCGAGTATGCGATATCCAGCGGCAGGTCATTGTCCACAGCAGGGCGAGAAGGCAGCTCCTGTCGTAGGTCCCGGAGAGCAGCCTCCAGGTAAATGGTGAAAAGCACTGGAGAGAGACTGTCCCCTTGAGAGACTCCGACATTTGTCTTGAAGGAGCGTTTCGATGCACCTTTCACACGAGGTTCAAGCCAGGTTTCAGTCAACAGTATACGGATCATTCGGAGCTCACTTTCTTGGAGGAAGGATTCAAGGATCCTCATCAGGACATCGCGGCGGACAGTGTCAATTCCCAATATGTGGATGGACGTATTGAATCGCTGCGTCATACTGCATAGCCATCTATGGCACCGCACCACATCACTTTTGCTGCGGCCACGGCGAAAAGCACTTTGGGATGTAGCCATGTACTGATCAACCGCTGGCTGTATCCTCTCCAGCACATTTTCACTAACATTACCGGTATACTCGCACATACAGTAATTTAAAAAAATGATTCACGAACACATTGATCAGAGCATCACAGAGACAATGAGGCCAAACTTGAGAACAATGACATTGCAAATAATGTTTCCACACCCAGATTTATAAAAGGTCTGAATCTAACTTGCTGGAGTGCTCAAACAGACAAGCCAGTGAGTTCTGCGTGTCAGAAGAATAAGATGTATCGACAGTTTTGATTAGTATTGATTACTTTAATTTCATTCTTTGGTGCTGGCCGCTTCAATGCGCTTACCGAATCCCTTCGAACAAGTCATATCCCCAATTCATTTCGCCAGAAACTTAGCAAATTCATTCATCTTGGGCACCCTATAAGAAGACGTAAGGGTCTGTTGGGAATGCCCAAGTAAAATAATACAATACAATACAAATACCTTTACACAGACACAGGTAGATAACCTGGGTGATGCGCTGAAGACACGTTTACATTGTCATAATACCGCCCTGGAAGTAGTTTGTCCTACTACTAGGACCTAGACTCTGTGTGTCACATCTTTCCCACCTGCTCATACTGGACATGTATAACAATAAGTTCAGGCATTCACGGTTCGCTGTCAGGTGACGGCAACACATATAGCATGGAATACTGAATGTTACTAATTACTTTTGAATGTTCCTATTTTTCGATTTACTCACTGTACAGCGTGCTGCCTCATGGTAGTATGTATTTGGTTGGAGAACCAAGCTGCGGAAGGTAATAACTTATTCATTAATTTTATACTTTTACTAATAATCACAAAACAGCTGGTAATTTGAACACTCGGCGAGGTGACAAAGGTTTAAGGATGGCAAGAAACAGAATCAGCTGAAGTTTCATATTACGAGGGCTCTATTGATATGTCACAAACGGATTCTGGAGAAAGTGGTGATAGGCAAAGAAATAACTATGAAGTAAATAGAATATGCAGAACAAAAATAGGAACGATGAAAAATGCATCGAACTAGCTTTCACACAACGATCATCAGGAAGCATCGTTCTACTACTGAACATACAACACATGCAACACATACTTTAACGAGAGAGCTTGGAAGCTCAGGGCCCTACGATATGCTTTTTTGCCTTGATGACCTAGACAAAAAAAGCATAGGGATGTTATAAATCCTTATAAGTTTCTACTTTTTGTTTTTAGACATAACCTGGGATTCGAACCCGCACTATCGCCCTGCATGCATCCCCCGATACACTTCGCATACATACTAATTCTTCCAAGTTGCTTTACGTTATGATCTTGTATTTGAAAGCCCTATTTGAACATGCATTGTGGCCAGCCGTCTTTGATTGTACGGTACGGTAGGGATAGGTACGGGACAGGCACTGGACATGTACGGGACAGGTATGGTCGAGGGTAATAAGACACCGTCTATTTATTTATTTATTTATTCAACATCTCCTGGCCCCTCCGAAGACTGCCAATAAACATGAGAGGTCAGGTGATAGCCAACCACGGCAAGCTAAAAGGGAGAAAAAGAAAGATGCTGTCAGAGAGGGAAAGGAGATAGGGAGAGAAAAAGAAAGGGAGGCACATTAGTAATACATGGGATCACTTCGGATGAGACAGTGTGGAAAGCTGGACTTTGAATTTCCTGATATCCTGGCATGTCTTAATGCTAGTAGGCAGGTTAGACCAAAGGGAGTATGCTGAGAAGAAAGGGGATTTCAAAAACAGAGAGGAACTAGCTCGGGGCAGTGATAAGGCATTGCGTGTTGGTCTAGTGGTAACAAACCAGTTGTACTTGGCAATATGTTTCGGGACTTGGGCTAGGAAGATTTTTTGCACAAGGATACAAAGATGCTGCTGATGTCTACCGCCTTGATGACGGCAAAAAAAGAAAAAGGATGTTATAAATTTTTCAATTCACCTATTTTTTCGGCATTACATGGGATTCGAACCCGCACTATCGCCCTACATGCATTCCGCCATACACTTCGCATTCATACTCATTCTTCCAAGTTGCTTCACGTTATGATCTTGCGTTTGAAAGCCCTATTTAAATATTGCGACCAGCTGTATGTGGCCAGCTGTGTTTGATGGTATGGTACGGTACGGGACAGATACGGGATAGCGCCAGGCATGACACAAACACACAAACAAACAAACACCAAATTAAAGCTGTGTGGACCCTAGCTAGCGCCAGACGTTACTGAAGTAACGTCTTCTGCATAGCTAAGGGTATAAATTATTATTATAGTGATAAATAACACCTAACCAACGCCCAAATAAGTAACATAGGGCATTATTGCAGGATACCATGTGCGTGAAAGATTATTATTATTATTATTGCATCATCATCTCGTGGCAAGCAATGCCAATATTGACTGAGAGAGGGGTGATACCCAACCATGGCCAAATCAACAAAAGAAAAGGTGTAGACATACATGTAGGACTCAGTATAGAGTCCATGCACTATATGATGTCCAGCATCCTATATAGAGTCCATTGGTCCACAATCCACTATACAGAGTCCAGGAGTCCACTCAGTTTCGATCAGCTTCATCCTGCCGCGCAATCCTCTATAAGGAGTACACTTTTCTACAAGTCCCCTATTCACAGTCCAGGAGTCCAGTTTATCCAGTCACGCCGTCCTGTGTGTTGTTCCCGAAAGAGAACAAACACATCTTCAGTTTTGCTTGCCTCGTGGCAGCGCATTCCTTTCTTCACTTCAGCCATGGCTGCCAGTTCTGCTGTGCAGTTGCTGACAGTAATCTGTCTCGAGGTAACCACGGAGGATAAGGAGACGTTCAAAATCAAATCTGGAAAGCGTCTTGTGGTACTCTGAAGACGTTTCATCAGTGCGCGGGATGAAAGCAGAAATTGCAGAACAAGAAAAGTTCAGCACAGTTCAAATCTGACGAGTCAGGTACACTGACACTCTCTTTCGTTCGACGCCACAAGGATCCCCTGTTTGGCTGGCCATTGCTGCCAGTAAGACGTTTGAACGGTTTCATCAGAGCGAGGGATGAAAGCAGAAAGCGGAGAAAGAGAAAAGTTCAGCACATTTCCAATCTTACGAGTCACATACACTGACACTCTCGTTCGTTCGACGCCAAAAGTCTACCCCTGTTTGACTGGGCAAGCGCTGCCTGTACCACCGTGTCAAAAGGCTGTCCAACTACATGGCAGGACGATGACTGAGGTAAGGAAGCTTTTACTCGTTTCGATTGGTCTGCTTTTCTGTTGTTATGCTTGAATTTTTTCCGTTTTCAAGGAGCGTATCGCGTTTGTTTGATGTTGCTTGAATGAATGCCCTAAAAGTAACCACTTCGTAATAGTCCTCAAGGACTGCAAGGACTTTGCATCAATCGTATACGATCGTCTAGCTATCATTTAATATTATTATAATTATTTCATGCGAAATGTATTTTTATCCCTGCGATAATTATGTGAAACTCCACGACACTCTTCCTCTAGTATGATGTCAAATACAATGGGATCCACAAACGCAGTGCCAGTGTACTAGTAGTAGGAGGAGAATTGCTTGTATGCCAATGACAAGAAAAAGCTTCTCAAGCTAATACTCGTATTCCCTGAAGTATCCGTTTTGAATTAACGAACATGACATTGTGTCCGTGAAACTGCCTCGTGACAACAAATCATTGCATTTCCATCTTGGAGAAGACTGACTGACGCCAACGCTGTACAGATTGTTCAAATCATCTAATTTCAATTTAGTTGCAGTGAAGTGAAACACTGTGTACACTACATGTATGTTGGTGTGTCTGTGCGTCTTGAGTGTGTACAAACGATCGTATTCCTCGTATTGTAGCGGGCCGCAGTCTCTCGGAGGCAAGAATGCACAAGGGTCTCAGTGAACACACTGTAATTGGCAATTGAAATGTACTGGCAACGAAATTAACTGATTGGTAACTAAATTAACTAACTGGCTACTAAATTAGCTGACTGGCTACTAAATTAACTAACTGGCAATAAAAGAATCGTGAGCAGTAGCTTTTATGCAAAGGCAGACTCTGTACGCTAATGTACGGGAATACGCTAACGTATGGGAATACAGTTAAACGTACGGGGATATGCGAACGTACGGGAATACAGTAACGTACGGGAATATACTAACGTACGGGAATACGCTATACGCTACAGTATTACTAATAGATTATTGTCCCCACCGTCACCTGTTCACAGGTCTTTGAGTGGATTGATTTTCATTGAGCATCACATTCGTTGAGAACTTGGTAGTTGTGTGCTCCCATGCATCATTACGGTAATAAGCGTATCCTTGCGCTATCTATTTGTTGCAGGTGTGCTGATCTTCAGACGTTTGCGGAACTGAGTGCTGCTGAACATTTGCATGGCCATGAGCAATGGTGAAGCTTGCTATTGCGCTCTCAGCATGTGCTAGTATTATGCTCAGTGACCACTGCACTATGTTACTCTCTTACACTATTACGTGTATGTAAACGTGCGTGTACCCGTCCCCCTATGCATTCGTTTCGTATAATTATTTGTTATCCCTCTTGACTTTACGTGTAAATGGGTGGACGTTTGCATGGCTGTTGGAGTTGCGTGTGTATTGTGTCTCTTCTCTTTTCTTGGTGTTTTCTTTGCGTTGTATAAGTTTGTGTGTGTGTGTGTGCGGGCGCGCAATAATTTGAAAACAAATAATTAATCCTGGGCTCTCCATTATTCTCTTTTGATTCTTGTTTTTTTTATAGGTATTTTCTTGGCGTTGTGTGGGTGTGTGCATGTGTGTGTGCGTGCACAATAATTTGGCAACACTGCATGATTGAGATATTGTAATCTGCAGCGTCTGCGAAGAGACCACTTGATTTGAGGATGGTGTTCGAAGGGTTTTTCATGTAATGAAGTGGCTG